GGAGCTTCTTCCAAAAGTGTTATATTTTGTTTTAACCCTGTCATTTGAAAATGTGTTTTTAAAAAATACTGAATACTCCAGCATTATCTTACTAGCTATAATAGAAGGTTGACTTCAGGTTTATTCCATTTTATTAGACAGTTGTTAAGCTTGGCCTTGCAAAGTCTTAAAGTTTGAGTTGAATGCCAGCAATTTAAAATGCAAATTAGAAATTTTATATTGTAGATTATAAGTGGGCTAATTGTCTTTTAAATATACTCCAGAAACTGTGGAAATAAATGCAATAGCATATTTTTTAAAGATAATGAGCTAAACACAGCTTTATGACTGAGACACTTTAACATTTTTTTAAGTGTTTTGTAAAGAAGGCACATTTAAATTTTTTGTGAACTGTGAAGCCATATTACATGATTTAGGGAATAAATAATACAAGAAAGGAAAAAAAAGTCTACACACTTTAGAATCCTGGGTATAATGTCACAAATCATTCATCCATTTCTCATACGTGGTCCCTATCATTTGGTGTTGCACTTAGCTGCCTATCAAAATGATAATCCTCTTCAGAATTTGCACCACCCTTTTTTTTCACATTCTAATTTGTTACATATGACAGCAGAATGCAGTATAATTCATATAATGCACCACCTTTTGATCCGGCTCCTTCTGTTAGGCAGATTAGGTATAGGAAATCCTTGGTGCTATTCACATTTTACAGCTGCTTTATGTTAAGGACAGAACTTTTCTGGAAGAACTTTTGTGTGTTGAGTGAAGGAACTCTGGTGACTGTGGGAGGGTTTTGAGTGAGGTATAATACCCTCAACACTCCAGTTGTCTTTTCTAGGGGCCATGCGTGACAAGGTGGAAGGTGTCCCCATAACTTCCTTAGAACTTATGTAACCGGAGATATCTATCTTATCTATTATTTAACCCATTATTAGCTACCCTCCTCCCCAATACTTCTCTTTCCAACAATTTACACAATGTTCCGTGACAGGAAAACGATTCAGATGACTAATTATATGCTTATATATATATATATATATATATATATATATATATATATATATATATATATACCTATATATGTTTTTTTGTACCAGCGATTGAACCCAGGGGTGCTTAACCACTGAGCCACATCCACAGCCCTTTTTGTATTTTATTTAGAGACAGGGTCTCACTAAGTTGCTAAGGCTGGCTCCTTCCTGAGCCTTCTGAGCCACTGGGATTACAGACGTGCAAGCTGACTAATGTGCTTTCAAATAAGCTCCAAGAAAAAGCAAGCCCAACTATCAAAGATACCATGTGAACATAGTTTGAGTGTGTTTAGATAATGTTTATTATTTTAATTCCTTCTATTTTGAGAGGTATCTCTGATATTTTTTTCTTAAGGAGAACTATTGTGTTTACTGGACAATAAGTTTCTGAGAAGCTGTTAGGAGTTAGCAAGGTAACAACCATGGAAACAGCCAGTCCAAAAATAGTTGACCTCAGTGAGCAAACTTAGAAAGTTTAAAAAATACTTCAGTAGTTTGACAGGATTTTATTTTGTAATAAATGTTTGTCTTTTGGTGAGAGGAGATTGTCTAGTTAAAATGTAAATATGAACAAAAAGAATACTAATATTTAAAGCTAAAAACCATTGACTTAGGTATTAAAATACAAAGTGGCAAAATTCAAGGTCTTATTCAGCCAAGTGAGCAGACTCAGAGACTTGATTTAAAAATAGGAAGTAAATAAAACTGAGTGTAAAGAATGTCTTCTTTGTTATTCTAAGTGCTCTTCAAAACAATAGCTGAAAAGGATGTGCTATGACAAGAGGTTTTAAGTGACATTAGGAAACAAGTGAATGGAATAAAGTCTGCTCATTTGTTTTCTAATAGGAAGTTACAAGTTGAGAACTTAGTTCTGTTAAACAAGTTCTGAAATATTTGAGATGTATTTTTTAAACAAATATTTCAGAAAACATACTGTTAAAATGAATTATAAATTGCTAATAAATTGCTTATAGCTCTTTACATTTCCTATACTTTATAGTTAATGTTGTTTCTTGAAGCTTGGCCTTAACCATATTGCTAGTAATAAAATGACACACTTCTCCGTCCCAGTGAAATGGGAGCAATAACAGTCTACAAAATATTGCTGTTGTGATTAAATGAGGTTGTATACATATAGTTTTTGCTTTGTATAGTTTCAGTATACATCAGTTTCATTTAGCACAGTTTAGATAAATAGCACAGTCCTCCAACAGCACAGCTCTCTTTCTCACTCTGTTTAGTCCTCTGATCACATGCTAACTCCTTCACATGTAGAGTAACCTTGGCCTGTCACTCCCTAGCCCTTTTATACTGCCTTGAAATAAAAAACCAAAAGAACATATTACTTGTTTACCTATTACTTATTACTTATCTGCAGCACTTATTACTGCCTTACATATGTTTTACTGTCAGTCTCTTTCCTCTGCCCTCCTGTCATATAGGATGTGAGTCGGTGTGGGCAGAGACTTGATCTGTTTTCTTCACTGCTGTATCTGTGGTATTTGCAGCAGTGACTGGCTTAAAGTTAGTTCTAAGTAGATGCTGATTCAATAAATAAATCTTTTATGTTTCAGAGCTCAAACAGTGCTTTTGCCTTTCCTATGTCCTTCTTATGGTGGATTCTGAATTCCTCTGATACTTATTGTCTTTATTTTGACACCAAGTTCAGCTTTTATGTTAATATATATCTCATTTCTCCAGTGAGGTGCCAATGACTGTATCTTTTTCTTTCCCTAGAAAATCTAACATATTAAGAGTAAACAAATACTTATTACATTTAAAAATAAACTAGTTGCTATTGCAGCTTCTTAATCTACATGGTGTTGTCATAAATCCTTTATTTCATTCAACAAATCCAGTTTGTTTATTCATTCAGCACATTTAGTACACACCTGCTATTCAGGTATTGGCATATAACAGCAAACCAAATGGTAACAAAAGTTTCTCTGTAAGTTATTCTTACATGTGTCCCAAATTAATTTTTTCTTTTTCCTTTCCTTTTCTGCAGTGGAAATTAAACCCGGGGCACCACAAGTGCTCTTCCACTGACCTACATTCCTAGTGTTTTGGTTTTTTGTGTGTGCTTTAAGGTTGAGACATGGGCACACTAAGTTGCCAAGGCTGGCCAAAGTTTGTGATCTTCCTCAGCCTACCAAGTAGATGGGATTGATTACAGGTTTTGCCACTATACCCAGCTCCAAATTAGTATTCTTAAAGCAGTTCTTTCACCAAGTCAAGCAAATTGCTGCTCAAAATTTAGAATTTACTAATTCAATCAGGGTCAAAATTTCTACCTTAGTATTTTATCTGGTCTCCTAATTCTTTTACCCCCATTGACCATGGGAGCCTGGTTGCTGGCCTCCATGCTATGCCAGTAACGTGGCAGTGACTGCTCTGAGCTTCCTGCCTTCTCCTGGAATAGTTTTTATGATAGGGTGAGAATGTATTCTTCCTCTCTCTTGCCCCCTCCCTCTCTCCAACACTCCAAATCCTCCACAAATATATCTCATTCTAATTAAAAAGTGTAACTCCTCCCTTTGAGAAATATTCTCAACCCTGCTCTAGGCTCAGTGCTTTACCATTACATTAAAAGAGATATGATGGTTCTAAAATCTGTATAAAAATTAGCTTAGTCGTTAGGTAGATTTAATTTTAATTTGTCATGGTCTTCAAATTCCTGTGAAATTTTAACAAAAATAAATAGAAAAGTGATTTTTTTTCTTTTAGATTTAATGCCTTACTTCAGTTTAATTGCTTTGAAGTGCTAATCATGTAGATTGGCTAGGTTTTAATCTGCATTATTAATATATTTCCTTCCCATAGAGCTAGCAAACTGTAGCTTCAGTTTTAGTTTTTGGTGCTTTTAGGCACTTTTATCTTGACCTGTTTGCCTAACATTTACTAAGCCCTGAGATTTAATTTACAAGGTCCAGACAACATTTTTTCTAGCTAACTTGCTTTGTGCCTTTTTTAAAAGATATCTTTGTTTTTTATGTGGTGCTAAGGATCAAACTCAGTGCCGCATAAGTGCTAGGTAAGCATTCTAACACTGAGCTAATCCTAGCCCCTGGTTTGTGCCTTTTAAATAGCATTGTGCTCCTTGGCTTTCTATTCTTTTTAAATTGTAAGACTCACTGTGTAATATCATTTTTATTACAGTTAAACTAATTTATATTTAGGTTGACTGATATTAGCTTTTATAATATATATCTGAATTAAAGGAAATTTCTTTCCTTTACCTAGCCATGATTAAAATCAGAGAAACCCCCATTTACCTAACTCACCTTGGAATTGAGGGGAAATTAACATTGCTCATGAATGATTTACTCATATTGGACATTGACTAAGCTTATAATAATGATATATTATTATATATACACTGGTGGGTGTCTAAAATTAGACATCATATTTTAGTGATTTGGGGGAGGAGGATGTACTGGGGATTGAACCCAGTGGTGCTCTACACCGAGCTATATCTCCAGTCCTTTTTTAAAAAATTATTTTTTATTTTGAGATAGAGTCTCACTAAGTTGCTGAGAGCTTGGCCGAGTTGCTGAGGCTGACCTAAAACTTGCAATCCTCCTGCCTCAGCCTTTCTAGCTGCTGGGACTATAGGAATGTGCCACCACACCTAGTTAGTCATCTTAATTCTGTTCCTTAAAATAATATTCGTAGTAGATTGGTAGTTTTAAAATTTTAAGCTGAATTTTAATATCTGCCTGCTGCTTACTTCCAGAATAAAGAAAGTATCTTATGTTTGATGTCCACTGTACCAATTAATAGCAAATCTTGCTATATTTGCTGCTGATTATATATCATTATAGAATGTCATGACAGCATAAGGGAATACATAGAAGAGAGAAAAATAGTCTGAGATGTGATTAAAAGGGCACAATTAATTCTGAAGTGTTGTCTGGTATGGGATTTTTTACAAAGATTTTTTTCTTTTATTCAAATGTTACTAAGGATTTGAAGCGTTCATTACCATCTGGACTTGGTCTCTCAGAAACTCAAATTACATCTCATGGCTTTGACAGTACCAAAGAGGGGGTTATTGAAGCAGGAGCATATCAAGGTAAGAGCCCATATATTTGTAAAGATGGCTGGGATGGAGGAGGGGAGAAGTTTACTGACTGTACTTCCATTAATAAAGAACAAGAGTTGAGACCTTTAATTCTGTAATAAAACACTAATAAACACAATCCTTTTTCTCTTCAACTTAAGTATTTTAGGCTGTGTCTTAATAATCTTATATAAATTGATCAATGTGCATATTTTCACTGTTAAAAATTGTTTTTTAAATACTGAAAAACTCAAAATTATATCAAAATGTAGATTTAGATTGTATCCATAAATTTATCTAGTTTGTAACCATAAAATTTATAACTATAAATATTGGTTTGTAGGAGTACATATTTCCTATATCAAAACATTAAAGTTCTCACCTAAAATAATTATCATGTAAATAAAAGAAGAACCATGCACACTATTTGAATGTGAAAAAATACATTGTTTTCTTGACAGAGCTGTAGTTAAAGTAATCGATGTTCATGAAGTACACTAATTTTAATACTACCTTGTAATTTCATGAGATAAAAACATCTCCATGCTTTTGCAATACTTAGCCCTCTTGCACATAGTAATGTGCTATATTTTTAGTGTATTACTGGCCAATTCTTTATTCAAGAACAGTTTAGATTTTAAAATATATTCTTTGCTACTGGGTCCTAGAAATAGGCATTTAGGATAATCCAGTATAATATCCCCTGTCCTAGATTAGTGAAGTGAATAGACTATCTCATGGTTTCACTTTCTCTCTCTCTTTCTCCCTCTCTCTCTCTCTCTCTTTCTCCCTCTCTCTCTCTCTCTCTCTCTCCCTCTCTCTCTCTCTCTCTCCCTCCTCCCCCTCTCTCTCTGTTTTTAATGTTTATAAAAATAAAGCTATAAAAGGGAACAAACATATCAGTATCTTAACAGTATACACATAAGCCCTGCATACTATATGTAGACACGGTCTTAAAAAAAAAAATTCATCTCTGCATTTTTAAGCATAATGGCATTGTTATCTCTTTAGAGGTACAAGGCTTACTTTACATTAATTATTGTTTCTTTGTGGTATTGGGGATTGAACTCAGGATTGGGGATTGAACTCAGGGCCTTTAGCGTACTATTCAAGTGCTCTACCATCCGCAGCCCCAGTTTCAAAACTTAAATGTCAGCATAGAATAAAAATTAATTTAATATTCAGATATTTTAAGTGTTTTCAATGAAATTATTTAGCTGACATTTGATTTAACCTTTTTCCCCTCAAGTGAAACAGGATTATTGAATAATTGAAATCAACTGGCCATTCTAATTGGCAGTGCATGAACATTAAAATGCTAGTCAGTTTCATTTACTTAGAGATATACCCAATCCTTCAAATAGGAATTGAAAACGTGCTTCACACTGAGCATGGAGGCACATGCCTGTAATCCCAGTGGCTTGTGAGACTGAGGCAGGAGAATTGCAGGTTTGAGGCCAGCCTCAGCACCTTAATGAGGACATAAGCAATTTAGCAGGTCCCTGTCTCAGAATAAAAATGAAAAGGACTGGGAAAATGTGTTTTATATAAAGGCAGTAATTTGTCTCTTTGAACTGTGTTTATAAAACATTTCTTAACCTAAACTGCATTGTTGATCAGTGTTAAAAAGAGAATCAGAGCAAGATGTAGTGGCACATACCTATAATCCCAGCTACTAGGGAGACTAAATAGGAGGATTGCAATTTGAAGGCCAGCCTGGACAACATATCAAGATTCTGTTGAGAGAGAGAGAGAGAGAGAGAGAGAGAGAGAG